AAAAAAAAAACAAACAAAACCAAAACACAAAAACCGGCCAATTGGAAATTCAGGGAGGAGAGACTGACATTCCGCATTCTTCTAAAGGACAAAACTCTTAAAAGAGGAATGACACTGTTGTCCCTACAGAGTGTTTTAATATAGTTCTAAGTACAATTCGTGTCTGATTTTGGAAATACAAATACATTTCGAATGGTTAAAAACAAAAATTAAAAAAATATTCTGAACATCAGCCAGCTGAAAATATATTTATCTAGTAAATCATCTCTCAAAGCTTTTATATATTTAATTATTCTAACTAAACATAGTACCCTTAAAAAACAAGTTCATAAAAATGTAGAAATGAAATTGTGGAATAAGATTACTGGGATATATATATATACACACACGCACACATTCAATGCATACACAGAATTACAAGGGGGTTTTGTTTGTTTCTTTACGTTTGGAAGGTTGTTAGACAAACGGAACTAGTAAGCAATGCTCAACTCCTGAGTTCCTCAACCAAGATAACCATAGGCTAATTTTTTAATCTTTTTTTTTTTTTTTTTTTTAAACACAAGATATTCCATGTAAAGCAGCAACAGCAGTGCAGTTACTGGTAGCAACATCTCAAAAGTAATAAAAAAACCATACATCCAGACAGTAGTACATTGCACACACACGTGATTCTCATACACCCATCAACAATTGGTCAGAGTATTAAATCAGTGTACAAATTAAATATTTCCAAAAATGTGCAAAAAAGTCAACGTTGATAGAAAAAAACACCTTTGTGTACATACATTACAAACTGTGCCCAGCATTCAACTGAGAGTAAAAACATTTACAGTGAGAAACTGATAGATTAAATAGAGAATTTAATGGCTACATAAAAATGTACATTAGATCAAGAGTAAATTTACAAATTTTTATTCATAGCTTCATGAAAACTAAAAGCCTACGTTCCAATTCATCTAAGTCTCCTCCATGTATTTACAGTGATATTCCATTATACGACTCCTGCGAGGTCTGAGATGACAGACGCTATGCTTTAATAAACCGTTCCAATTTTAGGATGACACCACCTTTTTTACTGGTATTAACGAGAGACAAACACTAGGGAACCAACAATCTAATGCCTGTTCAGAAAAGAAAATGCAATCCTTGTTTTTAAATCCACGTTATATAACCTCTGGGGAAAAGGATCGTCTAGTTCTGGGGTAAAAGACATGAAAAACCTCTGAAATATTTCCCATGAATATCCACTCTGGAGTTAAGAGTATCTTTTTCCTTCTCTCTCGACAGCAGACCCTGACCTCCAAATCTCATCGGTGGACTCAACGTAAGGGCTGAACCATGGGTTACAATTTTAATGTGTCTTAATCCAGTTCCTCCCCCTTTAAAATACGTTTATGAACATTAAGACCTAGCCAAAGCATGACTGCTAGCATCGGTGCTTTGAAACGCGAGAAACTTCGTTTCCTCCATCCCGTCTACCCCTCCAATATGTACGTGTATATATTGCTAGAGAAAACCCAAGGGTTGCTCCAGCACGCAGGGAGCTGCAGCGTCCTGGGTTCAAGTGACAGGGCCCTGGTATAAAGCTGTACATGAACTCGCACCCCATTCGGGAGCTATCAGTGGCCACCACCTGTGCAGTTTTGAAGTTATGCCAGCTAGAAAGAAAAAGAAACCGTGCAGGCCAGCTGGGGGAAATAAAAAGAGAAAGGAGCTCCTTTGTTTCTGACCAAGGATTTTGATTCAGAAACCGCGGGCTGGCAGCAATTCTGCCTGCCCCCTTTGGTGTGCATTTGTGGCTCCTCCTGAAGGCAGCACCGACACCCCTGTTACTGTGGGTGACGTTTAGGCTGTCACGTCAAGCGGACTGCCTCCCAGCAGCTTTGAAATGCTCTCATTATGGCGCAGAGCGGTTCAGGTCACAAATCCACACATCTTCACGGTGTTCCTTAAATGTCCCAAAACTCAAACCTGGCTATAAAAGTCACCAGGTTTAGTCACCAAGCTTATGCATTACTTTTAGAATGACAACAGTAAGATTAAGGTAGAAAGAGTTTTAAAAAGCAAACTCTTCATTTTAATGCTGGCATGAATTTTGCACATCAAAACAACAACTATAAACACCCAAATCTCTTAAATATGGGCACTGTCTATCACTTTTTACTAGTACCTGCTTTACTCAGTTAGCAATAGCTTACTGATGGATATATATGTTTCTATAAGTAACAGTACTAATCCATGAAACATCACTTTTGGCTATATGTATATGGGGATAGAAAAGCTTTGGTAATTGTACGTGATTTTACACTGCAGACTTGTCATTAACACCAGACAGGAAGTTACCAGCAAGAAGAAATTATACTGGCGGTAATACTTCTGCTTTTCCAGAAACACCATAGGGACTAACATTCAAGCACACAAATTATGCTTTTCTATAGGTGTGACAAAGACTTTCAAGATTAAAAAAGTAAGAAATTGGTTACAAATAACTGTAGATCTGACTAATTTGCTCAAGTCTCTGAAGCTACAGTTAGACATTGCTCCAAGTTGTCTGAAAGAATGGCTTGCTGTACTGCGCTGTACCTACAGGTGCTACAAGGCTTTCAGTCAAGACAACGGCAGGATTAAGATTATCCAAAAGGCACAGGAAAGAATTTCATGGGCACGATGTTAGCTTCACTGAGATATCTGTTGATTTGCTTAGACACATCATATTCCTGTGTGTTGAAAGTAAACAGCTTTTAATACAGTACCACATTTATGAGTGTACCAACTGTAACTTCAAATCCATGAAGAACTCTGCTGCAGTCTCTACAGTAAACCCAGAGTCCAGTACCCACAGCTAGGAAGCTAAATCTCAACTCTTACCAGTACTTCTGTGAGTGCAGAAAAGTCCTTTTCTTGGTATGCACATCAGCGTACCATCTCCAAAACGCAAATACAAAACCTCTATTAGCACACGAAGCCTTCAGGAAGTGCTCCAAAAAGCACCTTTTAAAATTCTCAATTTAAATGTCTGCAGCAGATTATAACTAAAGTATACTTTTCAGTGCAGTTAGACGAATTCTGTTTTCGACACTTTGAAAAAACCCATATTCTAAGACTGTTTTGGTGACATGGAATTGCATGACATATTTCAACATGGTGTTCAAATATGAACAAAATTAAGGCATACAGATAAAAAGGCACTAGCTGAAAAAAACCAACTTTTCATTTTGTTGTACTGAAAGGACTGTTTGGCTACAAATCAAATTGGAAATCAAGTTAAAATTTTAAGACTATTTAAACTGTCAAGAAAAAAAGCCTATGCAGGTTTAACTTTGCAGTTATTAGATCCATACCTTTTTAAGTCCTTGCATGGATATTTCTATCACCCAAATTAAAAAAAAAAACCTTGCTCTAACATGACTGAAACTTTCAGTTGCACTTGAGCAGGACTGTTAGTTACACCATTAATGTTAATACATGCAACAAACAGAATTACAAAATTCATTAGCAGATAAGTGAGTCCTTTGAAAATATGCATACTCACTGTAAACCTTGATCCTTGTTTTTTGAGAGCATGGCTTCATCATGGCATTTACAGAAAAGCAAAACAACCCTGCAACAGTATTGTTTTCATTGGCATTTTCTAGTAATTGGATTCAACAATTAAGAATAATTCATGATTCTAAAATGCTGGTATTTTTGTTAGTAAGATACTAGAAGTGGTGAGCAGGGATCTTGGCTCTGCAGCCTTCCTCCAATGGAGTTTTAAGCATGCAATTCCATGTGCCCGCTCAAATTCTAGAACTAGGGTTTGTTATCACACCAGTAGTCAATGTTAAGTGTTTTACAGATGTTGTATATGTATACAGAGGTACTATGTTATTTAATGCAGCTTGTTTTACTACATTACCCCAATAGAGAATAAATATTAGCTAACCTTTTGTAAAAGTTTGATTCAGCTTCATAATTATTTCTAACTCAAAACATTTATGCAAATAACCATCTAATTTACTGTAAGTTGCTTAAGTCAGTAGACAAATTCTCCATAGGGTTAAAAAAAAAAAAGCTCAAGCCTAATCTTGGTTAAATTAATACGATTTTACTAGAATCACTGGAACTGGCAAATGTCGTCTTCATTTAAGAAGCACTGTTTTTATGTTGGCAGCTTTCTGTTATGTCAAAGAAATTAAGGAAAATGCATTCTGCAAATTCTTTTGTTCCTGGCTCCAAAATGCCTACCGTTGTCATGACTGAATGCTGTTTTTTAGAAAAGGCACAAAAGCAGCAAACTCTATTATTCAGTAATTAAAAATCACAATGAGGAGGTGATATTGCAATATACATGAGCCAGCACTGTTTCACAAAAAGGACACATAATTATAAGAAAACTAGATTCTGAAAGTTTTCAAGCTTCAGAGAGTGCAGTTTTGTTTTAGAATAGTATATTTAAATGTTATGAATGCTACAGATAAACCTGGTTACATTTTCCCTTTAATGTCCTTTTTTGGTAATATAAAATTTCCTTACCTTTTCAGATATCACTGTCCAGTACTGATTTTTATATACATTTTCACCTTGGTTTTGGTACCTTCTTAATCTGTTTGAAATGAATCGTTTCAATTATATGATCTTTAAATTACCTACATAAACTATTAGGCTCTACATTAAACTTCCCATCTCTGCTGTCACTAAATCTTGCTTATAAAGCAAAGGTCCTTTACAGCAGAGTACATACCAATTCTTCTTAAAGGCTGCTTTCATAGCTTTTATCTAGGGACAGACAAGCAAAAAAAAAAAAAAAGTCAATACAAGCTGAACTTTCTTTTCAGCCTTCTAAACTTTCTCTGGTCTGATTAGTTCTTCCCATGCTCGGAAAACCTTGCACAGTTGTGTACCCTGACTGAGAAAATTATAGGCTGGGTAAAATATTCACATAAACCGAAGGAAAAAAAAAAAATCGTTCTTACTCCACTACAGGTAAAGTGATTAAGATAGATCCATACTCCTGCTTATGCTCTGGTACAAAATTTGGAAGTTAGCAGAATAAATTCAAAAATCTCATGAGTGAACTACCATGGGAATGGGTAAGCTAATTTTTCTATCTCCACGCACTTCATAATTCTGATAGTTGTCTGAAGATACAAAACAGGTAGAGCCTTGTCAGAGTGGACAAGGTTCACAGTACCAGCCCATTCTGCCTTTACAAAACAACAAAAGCAAGCAATGAATCATCCAAAACAGTATACATTATTTCAGTTCTGTAGTCCAATAGTTTATTTCCAAATGACCTTTTATATTATGTTGTGTTCTTCTACAAAAATATGAGAGTTTGACTTCTCTGTTGTGAAAAGTCAGTTATTCACTACACCTGATCAGTACCTGGACTTTCAATTGAGAAGCAGTATTTCAGAGTTTTACTTTTGCTCTTTTATTATACTCTTTCAGAAATGGAAAAAGTGATTCACGTACTTTTTATAACGGTTATCTGACAAACACCAATCATCTGGATTATCAGGCTGGAGTAATCACGCTTATGTTATTTAATTGCTGGCTCTCATTGCACTTTTGGCCTGTTCTTCATACAATCTTTTGTGCTGTGCCTCCTTGTTCTTGTGGATTCATCATCGCTACCTTATTAAAAATATAACTGGAGTCTTATCTTTCTCAGTGACTTATTCCTGGCATTAAAAGATGTTTAACATTATTTCAGCAATTTTCAACACATCCTAGATGACTGAACTGTGTTACTAAATTTTTTTTAGTGCATAATGGGAATAATTTTGTATTATTCAGGCACTTGATGTTGATATACATTCTATCCTAGTGCCCCTCAACAGCTTTGAAAACTTTATTTCTTATAACTCATTCTGAATTAAGTAACTCATATACTGCACAAGGATTAGTCACTCCCTTTCCCCCTCAGCCATTCATGGGATTGTGGAGGAGAACTGACTCTGAACATCACTTTTTTTTTCTTATCTAAGATAACCACCTCCCTCCCAGCTTATGCAACACAGGTTCTCTTTGGCAGATACAGCAGGAGGCATTCTCCTAACTATTTACATCCAACAGCTGACCCTGGTCTATTATGGAAATTTTCCCCTTGCAGTATAGTAGTTCCTAGGAGTCTGGGTCCATAATCTGTTTACCTGTAATTATTTTCCTATTAAGATAATACACTAGTTCTACACCAAAACCTCTAACTAGTACATCAGTGTTGAGTTCTTTTTTGTTATTTTCTTTTGGTCACATAGAAGTACTGGTTAGACACAGTGCTGTACAAAGAGTTCCAAGTTCTTCCAGCTTTATCATTAATTCTCAGAACTGCATGTTCCAGCTTAAACTGTAAAATCCAGAAACTGATTAAAATGCTAAAATATAGTAAGAACTTAGAACTCTCTGCCACAAGTACCTACAATATAAAGAAGAATCACAGAGAAGTAACCTTCTTGTCCTTTAGCTGCATGTCTATTTTTCCCTGCACCCTGAGTCAGTCAGTGGTGTCAGAAAAAGTCACACAGTTCCTGACTGTCCAAGCGTTTGTCTTTTTTTTTTTTTCCCCTTTAAATAAGGAACAAATATGTACTAAAGTGCTTTATCTACATGAACCACATCAGTACATTATAGAAACAAAAAGTTCTAGTCCTGGTGGGAGCAGGGGAGAGAAGATTCTCATTTTAGATACAAAATTTAGATTGCTTACAATCTAAGTGAAACAAAGATTCAAGAGAATATTCTCTCTTGTCTTTTTTTTCCTTTTTTTGTAAAAAATAAAAATAAAAGTGCAGTCAAATAGAAAATAAATGCAGTAGATGCAAGCTGAGTTGAGGCAGGCTGTTAGTGATAGTGTGCAAACGTGTGTCTTAGCAGTTCATCTGCAAATGGTCGCAGCTTGGCCTCGATAAAAATCCGTTTCAAGAAATCCCGAGCATGGTCGGAGACATGAGGTGGTAGCTGGGGGTTGGTTGGCTGAGTGGCAATTTTAAAGATGGCAGCCATGGCTTCGAACTCTGCCCACGGGGGCTTCTCAGTGAGCATTTCTACCACTGTACAACCTACGCTCCTGAAACAGAGGCAGAAGTGAAATAGCAGGTTACAACAGAGTCATGCCCTTCTAGGAAAACAAGAAATAGCAGAGAGCTACTAAAATACCACATATAAGTAGTGTCCACTTAACTCTACGGAGCAACTTCAATGGAAATAGGTGTTCACAAAAATCGCACATACAGCTCTACACTATCTCCAAGTTACATAAATCACTACCTACATCTTCACTTGATTACTTCACTGGGCCAAAAGCTACAACCTCAGTGAAGAGACAGGTATTTCTCTAGGTATTTCTCAGATACCAACTGCGTTATGGTACTGCCACTATTCAGTGCTCAGCAGGCTGATGCAGGCCACAAATGCTGTGCAGCCCTTGTACCCCAGCTCTTCAGATGCCTGCAGAACTTGAATGCACTTGAAAGCTTTCTTGCTCATTAAGGCCTAATGGAAATACAAAGCAACAGGAATGCTTTGAGTATACTGCATATATTGCTAGCTCCTAAGAAATGCACAAATTATCACCAATGTATAATGCACAAACATGACATGGAAGTTAAAAAGTTTAAAACCATACCTCAGTAGTATCCTTTTTTAGTTAAGGATGCTAAAAATATACTTAAGATTGCCAAACAAAATTTTAAGATCCTAAACAATCTCTGTATACAAGCCTATGTTTAAAGGATTTAGGAAGGCAGAAAGGCATGCGTGTGGCCAGAAAAAACTTTGTTCCTTAGTCCTGCAAGATCAGCTTCTTCCAGTAAAAGCAAATGATACTGTGAAATGGATAGGCTGGAATAATTTCCCAGTTTTCAGGAAGTTTTATGGTTAGACAGAGGTACACTCCTTTACACAAGGATTTACTGAATGACAGAAGTCCAACTTCAATATTTTTTTCTTAGTTTTAACCAGGATTTTCTCCATCAAAAAAACATGTATTAACCTTGGTACAAATACTTCAAAGTTGAACAAGTCAACTGCCTGAAATCTATAAGGCTGTCCTACTATTCAAGTATAGCAGAATATTTACTAAGTGATCTGAAGTAGGCTAAATTAATTTCCCTGTCATTCCCTGAAATTAAGAGTACTGCAATTGGCTGGATATAATGTGGTTCCTTTTTAAACACACGAAGTGTTACTACTCCTGCATATCTACTGTTGCCTACCCATTATTCTGGGTGTTCACAGATCACCTGTGGTGCAAGGAATCTAATCGCTAAAATCATCTGTCCATTGTGCTGGAGCTATGTTAGACTATGTCTTATTACACAATGTATCACAAACATTCATTTTTGAAAGTTACCTTTTCATCTTAATTCTTAAATATTTAATAACAACTTAACCAAATTATTTTTCATACCTCCCATTTAAATCAGGTTAATTCATTCTTATGTGCTCATCTTTTAAAGGGCCAGCGTTTCATTTTCTGCCTTGCATCAAAGGTATTTCAGTGGTAAAATTTCATTACAGGACATTGACTTAACTGATGCTTCAAAGCTTCACATGTTGCTTTCACCCAGCAACTCTCCAGGATTTACAAACAGTCTGATAATCCTCACTTCATGCAAGGTCAGTTCAGAGGATTCTCTTATGTACCCTAAATCGATGGGCTGAGGAATTGCCAAATGAAAAATTCCCAAATTTCAGTGTTACACTCTCCAAACATGACTATAAGTGCTCACGCTTGCCACCTTCTTCAGCTTAAACCCCAGAATGAAACACTCCAATTTCAGATAACAAATACCTACATTGTCGAAAAAGAGCCCATTCCGAAATGAAACCTTTTGGTAGAGAAGTTTTTTTTAACATACCAGATGTCTGCTTTTCTGCCATACCCTTCTCCACTAATAACTTCTGGACTCATCCAGTATGGAGTTCCTGTGACAGACTTCATTCCTGTACCAGAGAGACAGATGGTCTGCAGTCGTTTGCTGGCACCAAAGTCGCCAAGTTTCACATTGCCTGCTGAATCTCGCAGAATATTTGCTCCTGGAAGGAAGGGAATACAGCATTACATTCATGAAAGGCTCATTAACATTTTGGTGTGGAAAACACTAACAAGAGTTTGGATTCAGTGATACCATGCAAGATCAGCCTAGTATTTCAAGTCAAAGAATTTACTTTCTCTGCTCATTCCTATTACCCTATTCCAAGGTTCAGAAAATAACAAATTGTACACACTGGTTTGCATCCTAGGCCTTCTCCAGAAAGTGCCAGTCACTTTGTAAAGCCTTCCTAACGAAATAAGGAATATGCCATACAAGGGAAATAAAAGAAATGGGAAAGAAGTTTCCCCACGACTGAAAACCCCTTCATAGAATATTAAAGCAATATCTCAAACTGTGTTACAGATTTGTTCAAAACACTTATCTGCATAAGCATGTACAAATTGACCGTGATATCTCAACCTTTTTTGGAACAAAACACTATCGATACAAAGCAACAGGAAAATTGTAAACATTTTAGGGAATACAACAGCATTGTGTTCAACACACCTATTTTGCACATCACCATCTTATTACATATTCATAACTTGCTTATGCAGCACTTGCAAGTCAGCTGTATCTATCTGCAAAAAGTAAGTATGTCTGTTTCCTCAAGTTTCCTGGCAGTAAAATCAAAGAATTCTGAGTCATTTGATCAGGCAAGTCACCTCTGCCAGTCATTTCTTGTACTAGTGAAGTGCTGGGTAATTTCCATATAATTGATGAAACAAAACTCTGTAAAAATAAACTTTTGAGTCATGATGCTTTCCTCTGCACATTCTATCTATTTATAATGACATCATCCTTTGATATATTCAAAGCTATTAATACTAAAATAAAATCAGAAAGAAATTTATCATGATTGTTTTGGAGACAGACTATGGAAACATTTTCAGAAGTCTGCTAGAACATCACAAAGATGCTTCTTTTCCCCCCCTCAGGTTACAACAGTGACAAGAATAAACGAGGGAAAGCAATTTCATTGATTTTAAGTCAGTATTTTGGCATTTTAGACTTAATTACATTTTAGCACTTCACACAAGACTGGAAAAGAATCTGTAGTAAAGAGCACTGAACTGTGCACAAAACTACCATTACCTTTAATATCTCGATGGACAATCATATTACTGTGCAAATAGTGAACTCCTTCCAAAATCTGCCGCGTATATTTACGAGTCACATTTTCTGTGAGTGCTCCATATGATTTCAATTGGTCTTTGATGGAACCCTACGGCAAACATGAAGTATAAAACACTAACATTGCTAGAATCACAAGTGGGCTAATACTACAGTTGAATTTCAATGAAATTTATGCCTGAAATGTAGACATTTAAAGTTGCAATACTTCTCTAGATCAACTTAAAAGCACAGATACAGTTTTACTTCCACTGAGAAAAATAAAAACTTTGACAAAAGAAAGGCTGGACAGAGAAGTCATATACTGAAATGTTAAGCTATTAACTCTAAAACTGTCAAGCAGCTGAATACTTCCAGTGTCACGTACAGAAAAAGAACAGCAGTACTTTCACTCAAACAGCAGTCTCAGACTCACATTGGACAAGACATATGCCGTTTACCCTGGTTAGTTTATACTCAGGAAAAAAAAAGGGTGTCAAGAAAAAACCCACCACATGCTGGAGGATGGTGCTTTATGAAAAATTAAGAGGTAAACAAATCTTGGCTTAAAATAACATTAAATCAAAATTTCATAATTTTCTAACTATTTTTGTATAACTTGGCTTTGTCACACAAACTGCTAAGATTACTTCTGTGACACTGTCCGCCAAATCTCAGAAAAATTCAAGAAGCCCCCCAAAACAAAGCCCAGAACTCACCTAAAAAAACAAAGAAACAAACAAAAAACCACCACCAACAACAAAAACACACCCACACACCGCTTTTCTTCTGTGGAGTCTCACAGTAAAGTAGAATGCTGTAACTATTCAGATATACAGAGCCTGTGTTTTTACACAAGCACATTTTACTTCGTTCTGCTGACCCCACTTGGTGAGAAAAATGAAAATCCACAGTTTTCTGACCTTATCATACTTCTTAACAAAACAGTAGAAGAACAGTTCAGCATGTACCTAGGTGCCACACAAAAAACAAGCACCAAGATTATTTTCTGTGTGCACTTATTCCCACACCCATCTTAGCTACTTCTTGTTTTCCTGCAATAATTGAGCAGTTGTGATGGTGAGTATGCAAGCTGACAAGCTGAAGTGTGGCAAAAAGAAACATTAAAATTCAGGACAATTCAAGAGTTTACTAATGATAATATTGTCTTTTCAAAGACATTGCCAGAATGGAATGCAAAGAACTTTTGTATAAACCACTGCAATTCTGAAAACCCGAACAAGCAATGGAGAAGAGAGGCTGCTGTAAGCACTTGTCAGTGGTAGTGTTTTTAACTTGGACATTTCTTTAGTATCTGTGCACACTTCCACAAAAGCTGTCTATGTGGGTGCTCATCATATTGCATAGAAAAGCTGGTTGAAGTGGACTGGCTCTCTTGCTTACCCCAGGCATATATTCCATGAATATAGAGAGAGTTCTTTCTGGTGGATCTCTCAAGAAGCCATAATACTGAACAATTCTTTCATGCAGCAGATTTTTCAGCAACTGAATCTCACATTCAAGTGCATTTACTTCCTAAAAGGAAAAAACAGAGAAGATTTACCACACTTGATGTAGTAATAATAATGTTTTGGATTTGGATTTTTTAAAAGCAGGACCGTATGTACATATTAAAGGGTTATGTAAACTAAGTAACAAAATACTCTTGTAGCTTATGTAAAGTTTATACATTTTATAACAAGAAAATATCATCATTAGATTGACGGAAGTAAAAAAAACTATGCCTTTTCTATAAATTGAATTTGGGATGATTTTGCTGTTATACTCTTATTTTGAGATTATGTTTGTTTCAGAGCACAGCGGATATCAGTATGTATATGAAGTCAGTGATCAATATGCAACATGTCACAAGCCTCCAACTGGGTAAATAAATGAATCAATCTTTAAACCTTTGTAGTGGAATAATTAGCATTAATTCTTAACTTTTCCAGGATGACAGTTTACACTTTAAAAATGCCTTCAAGGACCACTTAATATTTTAATAATGAAATACAACAAAGAAAATCATTAACAGATATGGTGCTTTCTCTAGAGCTATCCGAAATACTAAAAATTTTGCAAACGGGAAGTAAGATATTTTGAAACAGACTGTACAGTAAGATGCCGGAAAAATACTAATCCACCAATTCAAACTTGACTGGAGTCCAAATTTCACCTAGACGTCTTTCATCAAAGCTTACTGTTTATCCATCACAGGCTATTACTGATACCCTCACACTTCTGAGGTTAGAAGGAAAAGAGATTTTTTGACACCGAGAGGCACACATGACAAAATGCTATGGCAAGTGAGGTCACAAAACTGTTGCTACAGGAGACACTACAGTATTTTATATTTAACATTTCCAAAGCATAATCAGTTTTCTATTACATTTTAAAGAAGTAGCAACAACAACTACACTAGAAATCTACAGCACAAGTGATCTTGGCTTTTTTCCTTGATCCTACATCACTAGTAGCAGCAACTATAACTGGTGGCCACTCAATTCTGCAATCATGCTTACACCCATTGTTTCCCCGGCCTTGCTCCCCACAGTGCAGAATGCAGTCCTAATGCAGAAAAGTAATATTTCTTTTTCCATCCTGTAAAAAGCAGCAAGTATGGTTTGGGAAAAAAGAAATATAAAATCAGTGCTACTTTTAAATAGTTTCTCTCCTCAAGTGTCCAGTAATTAAAGAAGGATAAGTTCAGTTTTAGAAAAGAGAACGAACTGACAATGAAACATCTGCTCTTCAGACAGACATGCAGCGAATAACAGTAGCTAGCCCTGATGCCCAAAGTTTGTTTGTTTTTTTAAACACACCCCTCCCCCCCGCCAAGATTAAAAAAAAAGATAAGAATTCAAACTCGCTTCATAGCCAAACAAAATATCCTTGAGAATTTATTTTCAGGAACACTTAAATTAGTACAGATTTTTCTGTTTATAAATGCAATTTGTTCTAATTCCTATAAGTATAAATAATTATCTATTTTAGAGAACACTTCATAATGGATTATTTAATTTTAGAGACTGAGACCGCACCAAATTAAGTTACATGTTCACTGCCTAAAGGTATGTCTCAAAATTAAAAAAATGGGATGTAACATTAAAATCAGGTAAACAAACTAATTCTCTCAGGTACTAATAAACCAGGATTCCTAACAAGGACCTGAAAACACAACATATTTTAAAACATCGGAACATCAGTCTAGTCTAGAACACACCAATTCAGCAGAAGCCCTTTACAAACTCTCTCTTTTGTATCACTTACCTTGCTGGTTTCTGGACTATCAGGATCAAACTGAACTTGTTTAACAGCTAGTTCTCTTCCGGTATCAGCATCATAACACAGATATACTCTGCCAAATGCACCTTGACCCAGCAGTTTACCAAGTCTCCAGTTAGTTGGAGCTCGTGGTGCTGAAAATATAAGTATGTTTTGGTTTTCAAATGAGCTTGTTATTCAGCTGATCGAGAAAAACTGGAATACACAGAAAATAATTTTTTAAAAGACTACGTTTTTCAACAACAGAGACTATGCGTCCTAAACCTCCCCATTTAAGTTACAAAGATCAATAAAACTTCCTGTAAGATGGAAAATATGAACTACTTAAATTTATTCACAAACTAATTTGTGGTGGAGATAGACATACTTAAAACAACTAGCAACAGCTAATCTGAAAAACAGAAAAAGCATGTTAAACAAACTTAATAAAATTTTTTCAAAAAATCGAGGCATGATTAAACTGTTCCAGCTACTGAAGTCATCATGAACTATATTTGCTCCTGAAATGCCACCACAGATATAAAACAGTACCACTTAAGGTCTATAAGTTATCAGAGAACTTGACCAACATCTGCAAAAATAAATAGTAACTACAACCTACATAACCCTTCTCGAGTCCTCAAGAGCCTAACAAATAATCAAAAATATTTTTACAGTGTTTTGTTATCACAGATGCAAATTCCATGTGAAAATGTAGATGAAGGTTGGCACAGTAAGCAATGAAAAATCTGATGAGCATATAGTCTTGACTTTTTCCTATCAGAGAGATAAAAACATTATTCAATTGCATGTATTTTGATGACACGCTTAGTTTTGACATGATATACTTGAAAGGTAAAGAGTTTTACAGTGGAGTTCACAAAATGCCTTAACTTACAGCGACTGGGTGGGCTAATGTCCATGACTGACAAGGTAGGATTGTCTATGTCACTTCCCCTCCTCCTCATTCGGTTATCTTCATATTCCGGCGTAAAGACACTGCTTCCACTACTGGTGCTCAGTGAGTGATCAGTGGGACTGAAACTAACTGGTGATCGGAAGCTGTTTCCCTGAGTCCTTCTGGCTCTTGGAAAAGTTTTACGACCTACAATGATATACAAAGAATACTAATGTTGCACTACAAAAAATACTGCCATGCAATGTGTATATGCAAAGACTTTATGAATTCCACATAATGTAGTTATCTTCCACAGCATATGATATGATGTAATGGTCATGACATTTACTGGTTCAACTTTCCACCTAGAAGAAAACAAACATTCATCACAGATGTGTGTAAGCATTAGACTGAATCAAAAACTGGTTTACTTTAAAGTGACCAAAATTGGGACCAAATTCTGGAACTGTTCTGAAATGTAATCGACATACTTCAGAAACCTAGAGGACTGTGAGAGGAGAAAGGAAAATGCCCTGCCTCTACTCTTGTTCCTCTATTAAGGTGTAAATACCAAATTTCTGATAAATAGAAGAGCAAGAGATATGTTTACATTCCAGTGGTGCCCATGCTGGCATCTTCATCCTGTAAACTAATAAGAATTGAACGCAGAGGAAGACCTACACATGGAATCAACAGGGAGACCACAAAAAATAAAAAATAATAATAATTAAAAAAAAAATAAATCACAAACAATACAAAATTCAGAGATGGCTACAGCATTAGAATAAAAAAAAGGCATTGATCTTCAAAAAGGTTAATTACAACCAGATGACTAACAAAATTCATGTTAATATATTTAGATAACATGAACATTTTTAGGTCAGCATAGCTTGATGAAGTTTCATCCTACAGAACTCAGAAATAGCTGAAGGAGTCTCTGATTCATTAGGTACTACACTGGAGAAGGAGTTCCCAGGGGACTGAAGAAGGCAGATAAAGTATCTTTGAAAAAGTAGACTCAGATTTATATACTAGCCTGGCCAATTTAAATTCCAAGAATGATAGGCAAACAAACAGCTAAGCAGTTTTATCACTGAGAGGATAATAAGGTAGTAAACAAAAGTCGTAACTGGTTTGTCACATGTAGCTAATCCAATTTCCCTATTTCATTGGGACATATTCATAAGCTAACTACTGAAGTGTTGCACAGACCAACTTCCTATGTAGACTATGCCCAGGACAGATTCAGAGCAATTAATGGTGATTTCTCATCACCTTCAGTCCACTTCCATACACTATTTTAACAGATGATGTATATATGATGGAACGTAATACACTGATATTGCAGATGACATCAAGTTAATTGTCACTGGTCCGTTTAAAGATAAAAATCAAAATTCACAATGATATTAGTAAATTGGAGAAGATTCAGAAATCAACAAGACGAAATTCAGTAAGGAAGTACAACATACTTAAAGAGAAATCAAATCCACAAACCACAAAGTGTAAAGTAATTGGTTGGCTAAAAGTCATGTAGAAAAGGATACAGGAACCACAGACTGAACAGCAGTAGCAGTCAGTATGGTGACCATGAAAAAAAGTAGTGTGTCATTGTGGAATGTATTAGCATGTATTAGGGGGTTTGCATGGCAAGGTTTTGGTAGCAGGGAGGTTACAGGGGTGGCTTCTGTGAGAAGCTGCCAGAAGCTTCCCCTGTGTCTGACAGAGCCAATGCCAGCCGGCTCCAAGACGGACCCACCGCTGGCCAAGGCTGAGCCCATCAGCAACAGTGGTAACGCCTCTGGGATAATATGCTTAAAAAGGGGAAAAAAACCCACATAACAGCAACTTCAGCTGAAGAAAGGAGTGAGAATATATGAGACAAACAACCCTGCAGACACCAAGGTCAGTGAAGAAGGAGGGGGAGGAGATAGTCCAGGCACCAGAGCAGAGATTCCCCTGCAGCCCGTGATGAAGACCATGGTGAGGCAGGCTGTCCCCCTGCAGTCCAGGGAGGTCCATGGTGGAGCAGATATCCACCTGCAGCCCAGGGAGGACCCCACACTGGAGCAGGTGGGTGCCCGAAGGAGACTGTGACCCTGTGGGAAGCCCACACTGGAGCAGGCTCCTGGCAGGACCTGTGGCCCTGTGGAGAGAGGAGCCCACGCTGGAACAGGTTTTCTGGCGGAACTTGTGAACCCACAGGGGTCCCACGCTGGAGCAGTCTGTGCCTGAACGACTGCACCCCGTGGAAGGGACCCACGCTGGAGCAGTTTGTGAAGAACTGCAGCCTGTGGGAAGGACCCACCTTGGAGAAGTTCTTGGAGAACTGTCTCCTGTGGGAGGGACCCCACACTGGAGCAGGGGAAGAGTGTGAGGAGTCCTGCCCCTGAGGAGGAAGGAGCGGCAGAGGCAACGTGTGATGCAACCCCCATTCAAAGTCCTCCTGTGCCACTGGCAGGGAGGAGGTAGAGGAAATCAGAAGTAAAGTTAAGCCCAGGTAAGAAAGGAGGTGTTTTAAGATTTGGTTTTATTTCTCATTACCCTACTCCAGTTGATTGGCAATAAATTAGGTTAATTTTCCCCAAGTTGAGTCTGTTTCGCCATGACGGTAATTGCTGAGTGATCTCTCCCTGTCCTTATCTTGACCCACAAGCCTTTCATTATATTTTCTCTCCCCTGTCCAGCTAAGCAGGGGGAGTGATAGAGCAACTTTGCTGGGCACGTGGCATCCGGCCAGGGTCAACCCACCACAGTTACATACCGAGTTATGGTTATATCCTATGTTATACATGAAGTGGCCATGAGAAAAGCCTCAGCTAGAGTAGTCTAGTGAGTTTTGGCCACCACAAGAATGGAGAAGACACTGCAAAAAAATATGAGGCTTGCAAAAATGTCTGAGGTAAGACTTAAGGCTTGAAAGAAAACTAATGAGAGAAAACAGATGCATGTGTGATGTAGTTTTATATATGGGCAGTGACCAATTTTTCACTATGTTAAAACAGAGTAACTAGTTACTAGTTTCATTTGCAGGAAAAATTATTTAGAAGACATAAAAAGGTAAGTTATAAGATAAGCTATCTTCAAAATTAGTTACATAAAGAAAATGAGTATCTCTTTATCTAAAGTCAATTTAGAGTTTACTTAAAAGTCAGTGTGACAGATCTTTGCCTCTTTAATCTTGCCTTAGAGCAAGGGACTGGACCGAAGCTGCCTTGCAGTCCTTCAATTTGGTATTTCTGTGATTTCTGTAACAGAATTCCATTTATTCCTGTGCTCATTCCATACTGCAAATGAAACCATCTGGTCTTTGGAGAAATTTCTTCTTAACACTTCTCAACTAGTGCTTGACACACCCTTAAGTCATACAATCCTTCAGCTGCTTCTCTTTCCTTCCTTTGGAAATTTAACATGGGTTAAATTTACAACAATGTTACTACTGTCCAAATCAATTTTGTGGCCACATCAGCAGGTGCTGTCTTGCATTCCAACAATTGATTTCACCAGCTAATTGTTAATTCTTGATTTAAATCACTGCTCTTGAATTTTATGTAATCTTTTAATCTGAGAAACTGTTAATAGGAACTCCACTGTATGTGGGGTTTTTTTAAGCAAAACAAGAAATGACAAACTGACATACCTAGTTTGGATAGAAAAGGGTCACAAAGGTCAAAAGCTTATACTGGATGACTTGTGCATGGCCAAAGATAGAGAACATTTTCATAGCTGTGCATATGAGTCATGAATTCCGTAATCCATAACTTTACCAGAGGTAAGACTGCTCAGCAGCTCTATCAATCATTAGAAATTTAGCTAGTGAGTTTGGGGAAAGAAGTTAAGCTTTCAATTTCTTCAATATTTTAATTAAATAAGGTTTTGCAATCTAAAATTTCTTCTTCACTTTTTAAGAAAATAAAACCTATTAATAAAGTAGAACTCTTGCAGTATTCGCACTTACCGTCATTGTAGTCTTGTTGATGATATGAAATATGGTATCTTCGGGGATAAGTCCCCCCCTTTCCAAATTTCTCAAATATTGGGATATCATACTCTACTAGAAAATAAAAAGATACATGTCAAAATTTAAAATGTGACAAAAGCACATTAAATTAATCAGTTTAGTATTATAAACTTAAACACGGGGGAACATACCAGTTGCTTGAAGTTGAAGCATCAGAGCAAAAAAGGTAATAGAACAAAAGCCACAAATCTAACAAATCACAAGAACTAAAAGGACATTCAGCTAAAAGTTCCAAAGGATCAAGAATTCAATAGCTCAAGTGGTTTGTAACCTCTTGCTTAAAGGAATGTCAGAGGACTGCAGCATGCCTAATTACTTGTTTTAAAAATAGTTTCTAGAGGAAAATTGGCAGAAACTATATTACAAAGAATAAAATTTAAAGATGCATAAATATGAAAAATTGGTGAATGAGTCAACACAGCTTGGATTACTAAAAATGTTAAATAGGTCTTCTTTTAAAAATTATTGAAGGAGAAAAGTATTCATAAGATAAAGGGAAAAGTCCTTCATGCATGCAGTAACTGGTTAAAGGGTAAGTACATAAGATGGGAATAAATGGTCAACAGTTCCACAAGAATGTGGGCTACAACTCATGCAGTTTAATTATGCATGAATTCTCTGGACAGAACAATGAATAGTGAGGTGACAAAATCATTTTGAGAAATAAGGCCAACAGAAGAATTGCAAAAAGCGCTTAAGAGTCTACGTGACTGGATGTTAAAATGGCAGATGAAATTCAGTGTAGGCTAGTGTAAAGGTCTGTGATAGAGAGTTCCAATAAAGCAGCAGCTGAACTCTCTGTATTGGCTAAGAAGCAAATTAAATGCTATAAATCATTAAGACATACTGAACAAAGTTTTGGTCTACTCCATTTCAAAGGATTTAGTGAAACTGGAAAAGATTTAGAAGTACACAGATGATCAAAGACACAAAATTGCTTCTCCATAAGGAATGTAGGCCTCTATAGACCAGAAAAGCAACAGCTCAAAGGGAGACATAAAGAGGTCTATAAAAAAAAAGAAAAAAAAATAATCACAAAGGGCATACTTCTTCATAAAACACAGTAAGTTGCACAACTTTTTGTCACAACATACTGTTGATACTAAAAAAGTTTATACAAGTTGAAATAGGGACTGGAAAAATTTGTGGAAGGAAAAAAAATAATCCATCACATCACAGAAATGCATCTTGCATTTGCAGAACCCTTAAGCTATACATGACTAGGAATGTATTCTGAGGAAGGAATACCACATGCTCCTCTATAGAAGCGTGGTACTGGTTGTGACAGGAGGAAAGACTAGGCCAGATGGACATTTTTTCTGACGCTATATACTATTCTGTTTTTGTTACACATCAAATCATGAGAATAAATATTGAATATGGAATTAATGATTGCTGTCTATCCCATCATCAAAATACCAGAGCATCCCACAGGAAAAAAACAGAAAAAATATTGCAAGATCATCTTATTAGAAAAGTAACTGTAATAAACATACACAAGTAAACTATATTACGATTACCAAAGGCAAACTAATTTCTGACATTTCCAACTTTTTTGGTATTTATCTCTGCCGCCTAAAAGTTTCTTATACATAGTTTTAGTTTTATTTTCATTTAAAAGTGGTGCAATCTGTTAAACAGCCTAGAATCCTTAAAAGAAAAAACCACGCCATCACAAGGTTATCTGGATAAAGCTTTATAAACAAAATAAAAATAAGCCTTAAAGTATATACTAGACCAAAAAACACAGAACACCCCAGCTTCACTGGAAGCTAATTATTGTTCAACAGCAAAATTCTGTAGAGGCATGTCTGTGAGAGACACTTCAAAGCACTTTAAAGGTTACCCATTGCACTTCGTATCCTGAAACATGCACAACTTGGATTCAAGCCAGAGTATCATATGAAAACATTAGTAGTGATGATTAATTTATAGGCACAGCACGCAGTTCTCCTTCATTCTTTCACTTTGCAGAGCTTTCAGTTACAGAAGTCACGAGCACTTCAAAGTGATCCTCATTTCGCACAAGAGAAAATGAAGGCTCCATGTACTGGGTTTGGCTGGGATAGAGTTAATTTTCTTCAGAGTAGCTAGTATGGTGTTATGTTTTGGATTTGTGACCAAAACAGTATTGATAACATAGGAATGTTTTAGTTGAAGCTGAACTGTGTTTACACAGCATGAAGGCTTTTTTTGTTTCTCACACTGCCATGCCAGCTAGTAGGCTGGGGGTGCACAAGAAGTTGGGAAGGGACACAGCTGGGACAGCTGACAAAAGGAATATCCCATACCATATGAGGTTGTGCTCAGCAATAAAAGCTGGGAGAAAGGAGGAGGAAGGGAGGACATTCGGAGTTATGGCATTTGTCTTCTCAGGTAACTGTTACGTGTGATGAACTCCTGCTTCCCTGGAAATGGCTAAATGTCTGCCTGCTGACAGGAAGTAGTGAATGAATTCCTTATTTTGCTTTGCTTGCATAGGCAGCTTTTGCTTTACCTATTAAACCGTCTTTACTCAACTCACATGTTTTCTCACTTCTACCCTCCTTGTTCTCTCATCCATCCCACTGCGGGGGAGTGAGCAAGCAGCTGTGTGGTGCTTAGTTGCCTACTGGGGTTAAACCACAACACTTCAAAAATTCAATAAATTAACAAAGGTTATGTGCCAACTTAGAGATGGATACTACGGTCCAGTCTAACAAACTGTTGTGTGCCCCTATCCACTGCATCATTTGTTCTTTTCAGAGAAGCAGGTAAGTTATACTATGCACGCTAACAGTGGTGTTACACATGACAATCTAGAAAACATTTGGAAGATCTTATGTTTCATTGTATCTTTTACTGTGTGCATTTGGATTGGATTTTGTTGCTTTCTTTTCTCCTACCCTATTAAGTTTGTGTAGTACAATACCTCTCAGTGTGAACTTCCCTTCTAAGCCCTACTATTTGCAAGAGGAAGAGTTCTGGAAAGCTAGTATGTCCAGTGATTTTTGCCTACCTGAGAATTCCTGATGATTATCTGGATAGCTCTGTGCTCTTGGCATCCGAGATTTGGGATAGTTGTCTCTGGAAGTGTAAAAACATACAGCATCTAAAACCTGCTGTTAATTTAGTACTTAAACATTTAATCTTACTGTCTCACAATTCCTTATGACTGATGAAAAGTTATTGCTATACAAGTTGCTGCACCAGTTTACAAATGTGGAACCCAATTTTGAAAATCAAATCTAGTAGGTATCAATAACAATTCAAGATCAGTAACAATGGAAAAGCTTGCTTATTGAGCTTAATGTAGTAAGAAAGCAACACGCTGTTAATGAGCAATGATATTAGTAAAAACATGAATTATCACAAGTAAAGCCACAAAGGAGCCCTGTTATGTTTAATACCTTTATGGCTAAACACACAGGTTTACAGACTGGCAAAAATCTCTTAAATAGCCTATAAAAACTCTTGAGGAAATTTAACCAAAGAAATGTAGAACCTTTTAGTGTCTCAAAATATTTCCCCTTCTCTCCAGGAAAGTCATAGGATTAAGAGAGTAATTTTATTGAGTTATAGAATGATGAAGAATTTTTTGGTTCTTACACAATCACATTGTTTCTTACCTACAGTTGGTATGTAACTCCCAGCCACCAAAAGGAATGGATGGGATTGCCAGTCAGAGAGACCGATTACAGTATATTTCAGTATATTTCCATAAACATACCAAAACAATGTCCTCCTCTTTCTGGTAAGAATTTCTCTAATGGGTAACAGAAGCTAAATGGAGACACAAAACCTACATCTTTGTAGGAAATATTTGAATGAAGAAGGGAAAAAAAAAAAAGGAAAACAATCTAAGTAGAGGTGACAAATGAAGTAAATAAAAAACAACCAAAAGAAGTTTTGAAGAAGAAACATGAGTTGAATTAAGATTGCTGTGTTTCCCCTTATTCCACTTACCCCTACCCAATAAAAAAATAAAAATTTGGCCATTTGGTAGAACTTTTTTGGTAGCTACATTAAACACTGTGTATGTACAACATATCACACTTCAACCACAAAATACTTTCCATGTCTATTGTTTTCTTGCTTGTGAAATGGAGACTCATTTAACTCAAAAATTTGTTAGACCAAATGTATTTTTGCCCTCAAATCACATATTCTCAAATGAAATGGTACTATGGAATACTATAGCTCTGATTAATTGCCGCAGGCAATGATTTCCAACTTTTTACCTTTCTACCAATTAAATAAAATAATTAGCAGCATAATAAGGTATTGCAGTTCCAAATAAACGAGTAGCCAGTCTGTGCAACATAAGACCTAAGGTTATATGCCTGGCCAACCATAAGCCAAAAAGGAATATGTTCTGTTTGGCTTCCCTGGTGGCTGAAAAACTGTGGACAGTGACCCTTTTGAAACACATTAATCTCCTAACAGGTCAATCAAAACAGATCTCCAGACCCACCACAGTACACATTGCCTCTTGCTAACCGACAGGTTTAAACAAGGAAAAATAAGTGGTAAGTCTGCAATGGGAACAAGGGGAGAGGAACAGACAGTTAATTGCAAAGAAAAGGAAGGGATTGTCTGTTGAAGTCTTTAAATGATTCTACCCTCTTTCTTGAATTAGGTACCCTCTACTTTGCAAAAGGGAAGCTTACTTCATATAGCAGTACCTAAGAAATGTAAATTTGATGGGGCAGCTCACTGCCAGGGAATATACTTCACATATATGTAAGACTGGAAAAATTTAGTAAAAATCTTCATTACATTTTGTAGGACCTGAAGTCTAATTTTTTTTTCAAATGCAAACTGTAAAAAAAAAATAATAAAATTACTTCTATTTTCCGTGCATTAGCAAGAAATTAAGTATCAATAAGCTTTTATAAATGTTCTATAACCTACAGAGGAATTTCTGGAAGAAGTTCAGTAATAGCTGTCACTGGAGAGTTATTATGTTACAACTGATACATTATGCAATCTAATAAAGATAAATAATGAATGTAAGTAATTTTTACCCATCTAAAGGGCTGTCAAGTGAGGGACAGCTTCCCGAGCCAGAGTTTTCAGGACTGCTCAAAGACAACGGATCCAGCATCTAATAAATAACAAAGACAGACCAACAAGTTCAAGTTTTTGGTTTTGTTTTTTTGATTTTGTTTTTTTAAATACTTGAAGGTTTCTGCTTTGAAGCGTCTAATAATAAACAAAAACAAACCGGAAATATTAATTACTAGAGAAAAAGTTCGCTGCCTAGTTGAACCTGCATTGCATTCTGCAATCCTGAAAGGACTCCATCATGTTTCTCGCATCTAACTAGAATATAGTTAAGGTATTTAATCCTCTATCACGCTTTGCACATAACAAGTTGTACTGCTACATTCTTCCTGTATGTGCCATTGTCTCTTAATATTATAGCAATATCTGCATGAGAGTAGGTTAACAGAATAAAAAAAAAAAAAGGCTTCTAGAGGAGAAAAAGCTGAGACAGTTTTAAAAAAATGTGGATTTTGTTGTCATCACCAAAGAAAAAAAAAATCTCAAATATGACATAGATTGTGATGAATACGATTTATATAATCTCTGGAGTGGCTTAGGTTTGACCAACTAGCAGTCACAGAAAACAGCTGAAATCAAATACTGTAAAAAGCTTTTAAACATTTATCTCTGGTTAGGACTCTAAGCAAGTTACGGAGATTTTAAATAGAACTGAAGAGAAAATGGAAGGAGAAGGAGAAAGAGGGAGAATGCATAAAATTTATAAACACTCTGTTTTCACCCAAACCAAAATCCTGTTTCAAATAAAATAAACTTTCATGTGAAACTGGAGTTTAGAAAAACACCAAAGACAGATTTTTTTTTTCCTAAAACACTTCTGACAACCTAGTAATGCTTACGAGCTATGTGAAATCTGCCATGTATCAGTCTGAAGAAGTCATAAAACTGAATATCTAGGCCAGATCTATTACATAATGAAAACAATCATCAACACTTTCTCTGTTTCTTGAATCCAATCCAGAGAAGAAGAAATGGATTGATAATCAAAAGCATCCTCTTGATTACCAGCTATTTCTTTTGGCTGACATTCATTTTGTTTATCTTGCACTACCACCCTTTAAGTTTTAAGTTGAATGACAGGCAAACATCACTCCCTCCTTTTCTGCAGTAAAGCAATCTGAAATGTGTTACAGATTTATTTTTCAGAAGTAGTGGAAAAAGAATCTAAATTTTGAATTATTGAATGTGACAATTTTCCCAGCCTGCCCCTCAAAAACAGAGTGGAAAGCTCATCTGTTGTCTTAAAATGAGCTCCTTCCTAAAATAAAGTTTGTTTTGGTATATAACATCTATTATTTTGTATTAATTGGACACCACTCTTTTACTGTAAATTAAGTAGTTACCCCTCCAATATTTATGGTCTGTGCTGCATCTTAAAGGTCCTGGGCACATACTTTGCCAAGCATCAATCAGGGACTTTTTAAAGAAACAGGGTCCAGAAAGTGAGTTTGCACTGTGCAAACTCAAACACTTAAGTGAACTCTGTATTGGGGAGGAGAACATTTACCATAGGTTCAGCAATTATATCGCTCTTTTCTCATGCTGAGCAGTGGGTTCTGAAAGGGAAAAAAGCCCATGTGCTGCCATATGAATTACCTCTATAACTTAATGCAGTATGGTCCAACTGGCAGACCACAGCCCACTTCTGTCCAACCCATCATCTCTTCTGTAGATAAAGTGTGGGGTCTGCTGTCAGAGTGTGAATAGCTGTGCTCAGGCAGATCAACAGGAGAGCAGAGCAAAGCCTTCCACTCCCAAATTCCCTTCTTGTCTTTGTGGGGCAGGCTGTGACAGATGTAGGCAGCATGGTCAACACTTGCCAAAGTGACGTGGCAGCTTAGGGGGAATGGAGCAAATGGAGGTTGTGAGTTCCAAACACTCCAACCTGGCCCTTGAAGCTGCTTAGGTTGAACTAAGCTGGCTTCCTATGAAAGTAAAATTCCTGTATTTAAACCCTGCTGACAGCTTACACAGCAATGCGTACATGACAGGTTACATGTTTCCTGAATACTCTGAAAGGACGTCCTGGGCCTCAGAGATCATCTGTCTGTATGACCAGTCAGTGACCAAAAGTGACTTTACCCAGGCCAAAAGTAATCATTTCACTGAAAGAATCCAGGCCTGGGCTGGATCTGACCACGTGGCTATGATAATGAATAGCACCCTGGTCTGGAAATTAGGAGATTCAGTCTCTATTCCCAGCTCAGTCGTTAAAATTGTGCAACAAATTGCACAATCTCTTTGCCTCTATTTTTATTCTATCATCTGTCTCTCATTTAGTCAGCTCATAAAAACCATTGCCTCTTGCCATTTGTGAATACAGTGCCAATGTCAACAAGAACTTGAAGTGATTCGGGTACGCAGCATTATTTTTTTTTTCCTCCTTAAAATATCTCTTTCTCCATTGCCAATTCTGTGAGCCATTACATTCCTCCATCTTTTCCTGCTGTTTTTGAGGGAGATACTCAGAAAGCAGGATTTTTATTCATGCTAAGTGTGATGATATCCCACACCAAGAATGCAGGTGAATATGGAGAACAAAATAGCATACATTTGTGATTCTCACACAAAAATGTGACCATGGAAAATATTTCAGACCTTATTTATACCAGGCCCATTGCCATCCCCTTGCCTCTACCCCAACGCAGTATCAACTGAGTCCAAACAATTCTGACAGATCCAAACTCTTCTTTAAAACCTCCTTTAATTACCTGGGAAAGTTGTAAAACTGGTCTTGCTTACATATCCTTCTCATTAAAATAAAGGGGTTTGTGCTTTCTAATGTAGACATCATTTGCTGTAATTTGTATCTATCACTACCTCACTCAACTATCATGGAAATTAAGAATATTGTCTTTCTCCTTGTAGCAACGTATTTAAATAATTGAAGAGACTTACAGAGGAAAAAACAGGTTCTACAAGACTAAACAACCACAGTTATTTTAACCTTCTCTCATGGATCATGTTTTCTAGGGTGGTTGCCATTTTTTTTAGCTGTTCTTTCTAACAATTCCATACCCCCACTTGAACAGCAGTATTTCATAAATCAACCTAAAAAACCCTGTAATATTAATAAATCACACACGTACCTGATCCATACTTTCTGGAATGAATTCACCCTCACTGTTGATACTGGTGAAGGACCCATTTCGGGCCACCTGATGCAGCTCATCTGGAATGTATCCTGGGGGAGGTGAACTCCTGTCACGAGTATTAGAACCTTTTGAAAGAAAAGGACTAGTCAGAGTCTCTTCACTAACCCAGAATCCAGGGGCTTTATTCAAATGCTTCATAGGCACTGAGCCTGCCTAGATGTCATCTTGGTTTAGAAATTTTCCATATGCCTATGCAATACAAGACTTACATATAGCATTTAAAATCTGTAATCCAGGAGTTATGAAAAATTTGGGGCAGGGTTGCCTCAATAGCATTAAAAAGAATTTTCATTATATAGGAACAGAAATATAATTTGCCTGCACACCTAGCTGGGTAAATTTCTTCTTTTGAAACAAAATAAAAATCCAAACCCTTCCACCCATGTCAACTAATCCTTTCCAACTCTTGAGAATGTCAGTTTTTCTTTGTAGAATATTATGCCTGCAAGAACATGAATACTCTATTCATAATAAATGTATAATAAATTAAATTGTCTGAAAAATTATTCATTAAACTCTCTAGTTTCATAATTAAATTTTGAAAGTTAACATCACACCAACTTTAAAATATGAATAAGCAAAAAGGTTATGTCAATGCCAAAATAAGTATCGTAAACAAATGTTCACATATTGAGATTTAAAAAATGTGGGAGCCCTAAACTGAGCAAGGAAACACATTGCCATATAACCAAACAGGTTTTTCAGTAACTCATTCCTGTATCTGAAAATAAAGGGGAGTACTATCATCAACTTTTTAGGATACCCATCAGTTACCTCAAATTACTCTACATAGATTTATTTACTTGTGATTTTTATTTTGTTAATTTTCTGTATTATATATGTTTAAACCACCTTTGACTTGAAATTCAAAATCCACTCCCATGAGTGCAAACTCTATACTAGAGTCATTGATGAGTAAGAGAAATTCAAACAGTCTATGTTGAGAGCAAGATCTTCATGAAGAAAATATAAGTTTTTACAATTAAAGCTATTGAAATATGTAGCTTACCTATAACAGACAGGCGCCTTTTTCTGTCTGTCACACCAAACACTGTGTTATCTAGATCCTCCAGTGAGGGCAAGGGTTCCACGCTATTTACACTGGGTGACTGAAAATGCATACATATTACAAACTGCAGTTATTAGTTTAGACTCCTGACAATGAAAATACTTCACAAACTTTATAGGCTTTGTGCAGCACATTCCTTTTTTCAGGCAGTCGAAAAGAAGCTTGCCAATGTATATCAAAATTCATCTATTTTAGCAGCTCATCTTTAGTATTTAAAAATAAGTTTCAATATGTATTAGTATACAAATCCCAGCAATAGCATGGCCATGATGTGTTAGATAATACCAAAATAACTCAGTATTTAGCTACTGATCACTGCTACTGTTTGCTACAACAAACATTGAACTTGCCACAAAGGAGCGTCACCAACATATGACTTAACAGTTTCAAATAACTACAGCTACTTAAATTCTATGCACTTCTCAAATTTGTGTCACATCATCATCCTATTAAGGAACACTTTTCTATCACTGTAGGGAAGGCAAACAAAGAGAGAGGAACAGGATCTAGGAAAAAGTTAAAACTGAGTCAATACAAAATGCTAATAGATGCTTAAAGTGAACTGAAGAAGCAATCACTAATATTTTCAACTGAAAAAATGTCTTTAGTTATTCTTTAAGAATGTTCTTTAAGAAAAGATACAAATTATACTTCAATATGAAAACTGAGGAAAAATACATTTAGCATGCCAACTCATACCTGTGTATTTCCATGTATTACAAGCAGTATCTTGAGACTCTTCATATGAACACTACGGTCAAGCAGTTCAACAGCTTTGTCCAGGTCATCCTGCGTGGTTAATGGAATGACAAGCTACAAAAAGGGGAGAAAAAAAAAAAAAAGTCTTAAACAGGACACAAGAAAGAAATGAGGAAGTGCAGAGAAACAAACAAACATGCTATCTTTCCTTTCATTCCAAACAGCTTGAAAATAAAATCTATTAAATGATGCCTCAAGTTAGCAACAAAATGACTGAAGTTCAACCTTAACTCTTCCTTCAGTTGCCTTGAATAGGTACAGCACGGTGGAACAAGTCTTCACAATGAAGGAGCAATCATTTTACATAGGTACAACTTAATATTCTACAAATTTCAGAGAAACGTGCAACAGTGTCAGTGTATTTGCCATTGCCTAAATTAATGCAAGTCTATAAGATAAATAAAAATAAGCCTATTTTATAGAGCATAAAGCACATTTTTGTATCTCACAATATTACAACTATATTTGACGTTACATCGCTAACAGAATTTCTCCACTGAAAAACAGAATTTGTTAAGGAAGTGTATCAGGCATGGAACAACTGTAGTCCTCACTAGACTCTTACTTGGATCTAATTAATTAGAATTAACTTGACATACATGTTATCTTTACAACAGAAAATGTTATGCCATTAAAATACACTTGAGATCCAAGTTCTGTAACAATTAAAATTGGGCTTATGTTTTGGGAGTGTAAATTACAACTTCTGCTTCTAACAAAGGAACAACGTAATATAGATTTTTAAAAAAATCTATTCTACTTGTAAACAGTCTCAGTCAGTGATGCTCCAATACATCAGTGGAAATACAGTACTTTTATACGAAAAGAAATGGGAATGAGGGAGGAAGGTCTTGATAACAAATGAGTATGCTCTTAAATTGCAGTTTTAATGCTAATGACAGGTTATTACCATCACATTTCTGAAACATGACGGGATGATTTGCCAACTAGTGCAGAAACTGACAAGCAGAAAGCCTGCTCAAATGCCTAAAAATCTATCAGAGGAATGGCCGTCTCTTCTGACCTTCCTAATCTCCAAAAGCCTTCTGTTGGAATTCTTTGTTTTGAGATCAGTTTCCCAGAAGTGCCTGGTAAGGTGAGTAACCAACAAACAGCAATTACAGGCATTTTCTTCTGCAAAGATGCAGATTAGATATAGCAATTATGTTGTGCATAACCAAGCACACGAATAATCTTCCATGCACTTTGCTGCCTCAAGGCAAAACCCAGAAGTAACTCTTCAGAAGGGATCCTGCATCTGTAAATATATTTGCTATTAATAATTCCATCTCTACTTCTAAAGAAAAGCTGGAAGTAATATTGATCAGGCATAAGTGCCTTGAAAGCACTAGCACTGTTCCCAAGAAATCTTTGTGTTCCAGCCACTTTAAGAGGGGCAACAGTTAAGACTAGTTCTCCAATCTAAACATTACTAAATGCAGCATTCCAGCGATTACCAAACAAGATTAATTCTTAAAGAAGAAAAAAATGTACAAGAACGGATAAATGTTATTTCAAATTTACAAACATGACAAAGCTGAAAAGACTTTCCCAAAGTCATGCAACAGGACTGTGGCAGAGCAGGAAGACAATCTACCCATTCCCAATCAAGTCTGAGACATAATTCATTAAGATATGACTCTCCTCATAGAATATTTAATGCATCTCCTGCCTATCCTAATTTAGACAAGCCTTACATGTTTGAGAACACACACATTAGAAATCTACGGTTTTGTCACAGGAGTAAGTTCTGTCACAGGAGCGGTTCTCACCGCTTACGAGAGCAAATTTCAGCCTTAAAATAATCAGCGTACAAGTCATCAAGAATTTAGAAGACACAGAATATTACCTCATTATTGCTGTAATGTAAATCCATAGTCTGTCCAAAAGCGACTTTAGCTTTAGCTGCAAGATCTTCAAGTTTAACAGGCCTTGGTAATTGCAGGATCCTGAAACACAATTTAAGTTATAAAGAATTTTTGTCCATTACTTATGAAAATCTGGCAAGTCATTACTTAAGAACGATCTTGGAATTAAATTTCTTATTTAAAAGACCGTAACAGGCTATGCTTTATTCACTGTCCTCCATATTTTGAGTCATTAAAAAGAAAGAAAAGCAGTGAAAGAGTTATAAGGGATAATCAAACATAAATTTAGATCTGATTATGACTATTTTACTTGGTTGCATATGGCTTCTTTCTTAACTTAATGCTTTGCATGCCTCCATTCCAGAGGCAAATTCTTAGAAACTTCTAAAATTTTCTACTTCAGAAAACTAAAACAATGGAGTACCATAGGCTGACAAGCATAGGCATCAGAAAGGAATTACTCCTACAGTCCCCATTTTTTGGAAATCCAAGACTATCTTTTCTGAGGAAGGTAACTAAATGTCACCATCATTACCATAATGTATTACACGCTCAAACTGCTGAGTCCATCACTAACTGTGCTTCAAGTGTGGTCCTGTAAGAATGGCGCAGTTGTAGGTCAACAACTGAGATTTTCTTTTAACTCAATGTCTCATCAAACCAAATAGCCCAAAACGCCTGTAACTGACCTTTTACTATAGAAAACGATTGTATTATTTGAGACACAATGCCATTAAACAAAAAACATTTTTAGAAGCGACTAAGCTAGTAAGGTACATTGAATTCACATTCCAAAAAGAAACAGTACTCAAATTTTGTGAAGCAGAAAAATTAGCAAAGGGTAACTGTCCGTTTTACCAGTGTTTCAATTGGTATACTGGTTAGGGAACAATATTTCTCACTGAAATGAGGCTAGAAGCCAGGCCACCTCCAATTAAAAATTATTTGGAAAAATCAAATCTTTAAAAAAATCAAAAACAAAAAAACAACTCAAAAACCAAAACAAAAACCCAGACACCACCATCAATTCTCACTGTAGTTACCAATTTGTTTAGCAAGCCTGGAACTCTACCCATCACACTGCACACTCCTTGGAAGAGAGTGCCACATTCACTACTGAAAAAAACTCTGGAATCACTTCTCTCTTCCACTTCCCTTTTTAAAAACTGGTGAGAAAGCCATTGCGTAACTTATTTTTCTTGCATAATTTCATTATTTTATCTTTAGATCTACATGCTCAGGCAACAGAAGTATTACAACTCATGCTGAGCAATGAGCCTGTGCTGCCCAGTACCCCTGGGCAAGCAGGCTCAAGTTACTTGAGACAGTCCAAAACAGACCTAGGTCCATCAGCATAAAAGCTTGGGAAAGGTATCTTTCCACATACTTACTTTATACTTGTATTCATATTGATTAACTTAGTCCACTGTGAAAGTAAATTAAGATAAACTGCAAAAATGCACTGTCGTGCAGACTGGCCGTGAGTAAACAGTTCTGTTTTAAATTCATGTTTCTGCTTATTTCACAAGAACTGCTAAGTAGAAGAGTCCTCAATTGTCAAAGCTTTTGAAAAGACTTATTTCCTCCAAATTACTTATAGCACTCAACCATTACCGATGCGCTGTTACATGTGATGTTCAGAAAAGTGATAAAAAGAAGTTGAAGAATGTTAATACCTATACTGCTATTTTACTACCCCATGTAAAGAGAGGGCACGTACTGTAATCAGCACAGATACACACTGATCTGTTGCACATCACACTAAGGACTGCCCAGAAGCAGCATAGGTTTCATTCTGAAGCAATCTTTACTTAAGGAATTTACCATTTCTACTGACAAATAGCATGACCAGGATATTATTTCCTTCTTCATGAAGTACTTTCTAAGATCTTATTTTCTAACCATTTCTCTATAGGTACAATGAAGGTTTATGGTTTCAGAGACAAACAGACAAAATGAGTTGTACACAAACCAGTTCTGCACGGAACTGCAGATCAACATCTGTAAAAGCTTTTGAGCAGCCATGAGAGCAGATATAGAGAGACAGATGTTTGTATATCTTAAGCATCTACATCACTCACCTCTCATATACAAAATGAAAATAAATTTTAACTGATTAGTCAAAATTACCAATGAAAACAATCTAATTACAAAGTCTAAAATTTTCCTATTGCAGTTCTCAGATGGGTTCATCAAAGTACAATCCAATGTTGAGCTTTATGTCTAGGCTTCTTCCTCTGGGTGTTACAGCAACAATATACAATCATGCATTTATTACGCACGTGATACAGCAAAAAAATTACTTGCTGGTCTACTCATATTTGAGATCTATGCTAATGATCTAAGTAATTGTTCTAGGCTACAAACACCTATCTGAAGGGTAAACAAATGAAGGATATTACATGGGACGCAGCTAAGGTAGGATACATCTACTTTTATGTATACTTAGAGCCCACATTTTTGACAGATTAATTCTCCTTAAATAATATTCATATCAAAAATTAAATTTAAGCTCAAACCAAATACACTCAGATATCTAAAATACTTTAAACAGTTTATTTGAAACTTTATGATAGGAGCCCAACAAAATTCTATAAATAATTAAAAGATAAGACTGTTTCCTGTGGTCCCACCTTACCTTTTTTCACCTCGATGCTCAAATTTGACTCTAACATCGTTCTGTAAGAAAACCGATGAAGGAATCACTATTAGTTTGTTACTACCTCCTTTAATGAAGGCCGTGAAATCTCATTCAATAATCCTACATCAGAAGTAAAATCCTTAAGCAGCCCATATTAATTTTCTGTCCTTTCTGATATATGAAGCATTTTAACAAGCTACTTCTGCTGAGGTATATGAGAGAGGCTTAAAGTGTGTAAAAAATTACAATAAATTATTCTGAAGTGCAACATATGTTTCTGTAAGTAAACATGTTATTTTCTATCAATATATTTTAATATCATAACAGATTCATGATTTCAAATTCAGCGTGGAACTGATTATCACGAACAGGCAGGTAGATATTGTAACAGGATTTTATATACACCTCAGAGCTGAGCACTCCAGGCTTAAGAAACATACCTTGTTTCATAAGCATTACTGTAGAAACCCACACGTGTAATTAAGCCAACATTCATGCAATCAGTCTCCAAGTAACAAAGATACCTGTAAGTATCTGCAGTTACGTGGAAATAAAACTATTTTGCAAAATCATAATTTTAAGAATCAAATTGTATTAGCAACTATCGCAGGAAAAAAAAAATGCATTCAACCATATATCCAAACAACAATGCTCTATCTTCCAAAAGAATCACTTGGTTCACAAGTGATTACTTTCAAAATTCACAAATTGAAACAGAATGACAAACACGTATTTCCCCCTCACCACTATCACATTTAAGCTCAGAAATGGCTCAACAATTTTTCTTCTAACTTTCTGAACATGTGTTATTTTAAAATCATTTTGGATCATATATGCACATTAAAACAATGTCTAAAGTCACAGCTCAGAAATTAGTTATATGACACTAGCAAAGCACCATTGTGTTATATACTGAACTCTTACAGCTTTTAAGCACAGAATGACAAAGATGTAGCCATTAGTTTTTGACAGTTTAAGAGCCAAATATATTCAAATACTTTGATCTTTAACAGGTTAAAACCAGATAGCACAGACTGAAGTTTCATAAAATATTGGACTGCCAATTAAGGATCCAATCAAATAAACATACAATTAACTCAATCAGGCTATTACAACAATTTGGGTAAAAATCTACATCCTATCCCCTCCTAATCTCTCTATATATAGTAGTTCAAACCTATCAACTAAGTATTTACTACTTTTCCATCTCTGTTCAGTACCTGCAGGGAAAAAAAAAATACAGCTGAAAAGAACTTACATTTCCAGCATATATGCAAACAAAAAATCGAGGCCAAAGATGCAATAAAGTAGCTTAAGTGTGTTTCTGCTGCTGTACTGATGTTCTTTAGTATGACAACTAGGCAATCTAATATACCTATAAAATTAATTCTAAAGAAGCATTCCAAATAAGAGATACTAGCACACCTTGGTATTTTAAAATAGTCTAGTACTAAATGATGATGATAATATATAAACAAACCAACCTATATACAGTGTCAAAATACCCCTATAATCTTCAATTTATCAGGATCAGAGTCATTTAAGCATACACTATGATCTGGTCTGAAATGCCACCTTTCATTTTGTTGCTAATTTAAGAACGTGAACAAAGAAAATGGCAGCACATGTGGGAGACTAATAGCTCATTCTGGTATGCTCACTGGTCTGGCAAGAAAAATAATTATAGAAGTCACAGCAGGACACTCTGTGTTCAATAGGTTAGTAAGGATATTAAAGATTACCTGTTTTTTAGGCGAAGATGACTTTGGTTTTCCTGTTTCTTGCTGGGGCAAGACAGGACGACTGGCCTTATGAAGCACAGCCAAATCCTGCATGATTGAATTTAAAGCTTGCTGCTCATCTGCTCAGAGAAAAAGACCAGATAAGAGAAGTATAAATGACTGTTACGTTTGAAGTGCATTACTGTCTCATTTCACAATTAGGCAGGCATTTTTCTAAAATCTAGCAGTCCACACTACACTTCAATACATAATTGACAAATAAAAAAAATTACTGCCATGTTGCAAACATTTTTATTTTATTTATCCTTAACAGTGCTTAAGGAAATAAAACAACTTAATCAGTAAACACACTGAAATGGTTTAAAAAACTGAAGTCAAAACAGAGATTGAAAACTCTACAGAACTGCAGGCTGTATTAATAAGAGAAGGACAGGGGGAAAAAAAAAAAAAGCGTTATCTACTTTGTTTCAAATAATGTTCATGGATAAGATGTTAACTAGAAATCACACTTCCTCCCCAAATCGTAAAATAAAGAAAAACCAAGTACTTTTGAATAATTTTTCCTCTGTCCTGAACAGGTATGGTCATGCACACAGGAAGCATACACAAACTCCCAGAGGAACACCACCACTGTCTGAGCATCTACTGATGGCCCAGAGAGTAATAAAAATAAATAAGTAAATAAATAAACCAAAAACCAAACAAAAACCAAAAACAGCCGCAGAACTTCTCCAGGACTCCAAACGTATGGTTTTTCAGGGCTTACAGGAGTAATTCACAAGGAGAAACAGAAGCATTGAACCCAGGGGACAATTTAGGGGCAAGAGTGCCACACAGCTTAAATTTCAAGTTCACACAAAATCCTAAATGCTGATGATCTGCTGCAGCTGTGAAGGCCTGAGGCCATGCTAGACAAGGTTTGCCCTGAAACTGGGATACTCCTTTAGACAGGAAAGCACCTAGGAGCTCAAAAGCCATCCATCACTAAGGGAAATTTATTTATCACTAATATTTTGTATTAATTCTTTGCCACAGCGACATTACTATACTCAACATGTATCTAGAACACTGGATAACAAAATTTATCTGAAAAAGTGTTGATTGCATGCCTTCACGCTACTTCACAATGGATATGTTTGTTGAAGAATTCATTGCCAAGTGCTGTGATTTACAAAGAACAGTATTTCTCCAACATCGACCTGAGTAAAATTCGACATTAAAAATCAGCAAACAAGCATTCCAGTATTCAGCAATGATGAGAATTCCTTCACACTCTATTCAAATATAACCAAATATATTTGTCATATCATGAAATTGTGGGATTTCAGTGTTCTAATTTAATAGATTCCTAACAGATCAGAAAGAGGGTCTAAAAATTAGTAACTGTGATCATCGTTCATGCTGTCATTATTCGTAACTCTACTATGATATGCAAATCTATAAAAGCAAGTTTTATTAGCAATAGTTAAAGGCAGAACTGAAAGTATTCTTGCAGCTCAGTTATTCCTTTCTCACATTAAAACACACTTCAAAACTTGCCACAATTAAAAAAGTTAAACTGTTTTATTGTGTTATAGTCTATTCTAGTGCTCAACGATAAAAAAAAATAATTGTTCTTTTAGCAGTTGGTTGGAGGAGATTTAATTACCAGTGGTCACTAGGTAGCATATTTCATGCGAAGGAAATGAAAGCATTGTGGCAAAGCATCTGAAAGTTTACTGAATATCTGATATGACTCAACAGTCATTTCTCTCACACAAAATGCTGGAGAATATGAGAAATCTAGAGTGCTGTATTCCTAGATTCAGCTACTTTACTATTAAGCATGAGGTTAGGAAAAAAAATAGCATAACAATAAAAGATAAACAAAAGCGATACAAAAAACATGTGTGTTTTGGTTGGTTGGTTTGTTGGGATTTTTTTGAGACTGAGCACTGATAAGTGATTACAATAACAACACAGTCAACTCATTAAAAAGCAAGTACAACTTGAAAAAATCAACATAAAATTTAAAGTAATACAAATGTGCTACATATTTAGAAAAACACAGTTAGACCACCTACACAGTCTTGGCTTTGCACTGCAATGACACAACACAATACGATAAAATTCTTTAATATAAACTGTGGGTTTTTTTTCCTCAATAGCCATTACCATTTACAGCACAGTAATATTGCTCAGTCACCTAATACCATGAATCTCAATTTCCTATACTTGAATTTTTAAGTTACCACATAGTGAGGGAAAAGTGCTTTATTCCAATAGAAAAAAAACAGAAGTATTTTGAATATTAGCAAAGCAGCTGAACACTGCCTTTCATGTAGACATTACATTGACTTACATGGCCAAAGCACACATTTCCTAGGAATGGTATTACATCAATGGTTTTGGTCTTCAATAGAAATGAAAATTATCCAAATTAAATTTTTATATATGTTACATACAAGACTTACCCATAATGGCAGTGAGTCTGAAAACTTGAACTTCAGGGAAATGGCTGCTTCATTAGCATTATTTTATGTCCTAAAATGCAAAACCAAAAATACATAATTATTGAAATTGTCAGATCCATGTAAAACAGTCAACTCTTCATTTTTACAGGCACTTTTTCTAATATTCTACCTATTGAATATGCATATAAACTACAAATAAGATTGCATATTGAGATATGACGTGTGGAGAAAACAGATATTGTCCCCAAAGCCTCACTGGGCTCTGAGCAACATACATACAGACTTTCAAAAGACAAAGCCTGAACTAAATATTATTCTAGACTTAAGCTGATTTTAGTCTCTATCTACACCCCCAAATGATGATTAGTAGCTTAATTAGCCATAACACTGCTACATGGGATACCCACTACTCCAGATTATTAAGAACCAATTCTTTTTCTACAGGTTGCTGTATCTGGTGTTCCAAGTTCTGTGTTATACATACATATGTTATATACTACATATATATAGTTCATATATAAATATATATGAAACTCATAGCACAAATCAAAAGGCATCAATACCCACTGACTAGAAAATTTCAACTGGTAAGTTTTTTTCATCATAATTCAAGAGCATTACACAGATAGCCCAACACCCCTGAAAGCAAATGCCTCTGGAAGACAGTAGGTATGAACTTTGAATATACAATATCCAAGTTATCTAGAAAAGCAGAAACAAAGGGGGCACATTTATAAACAAACCCTATTACAATATCTTGAACATCAGTCAATTTAAAAAAAAACAAAACACAATTAAGGATCGATTAAAATAATCTTTCTATGAGATGCTATTATGGAGCTTAACAGCAAAAAACGAAAGACATATCCCTAAATAGACAATGAGGTTTGTTGAAATACAGGCTACCACAGGAAGAATTCCAAATTTTTAATGCAAGATCATAGAAGAAAACTCTCTAATTTCTTATGCAGTCATTGCGACCAAGTAGGGAGAGCCTATTCCCTCCTCCCTTTTCCTGGCTGCAGTGGACCATCCATCCTTCTGACTCAGAGCCAAAAGATCTACCCTGCTCTGATAAAACAGATGATTTCCCTGCAAGTTCATTCAAGGAGCTACACCAACAGAATATGACTCTTTGTTTTTTCTTTTTTAAACAGAATTTGTTTTCTCATGATTTAGTTTCTTACCAGTGTCAAATGACACCTGATGCCAGCACAGGGCCACCTGTGGGAGCACATGGCTGAGAACAGAGGGGAGGTGGGCTCTTTCAGCACCAGCCAGCCAGGCTTTCTTGCTTGAATATTCTGCCAATTTTCTAGCTAACAACAAATTAATTACAATTTTCCAAAGGATCTCTGAGCATCTTCACTTCAGCAACTAAGTTTCTGGCATTGTATCTCTTACATAGTCATTTCATGAAAACAGCCTTTTTAAGCAGCATTCATTTCACCAGTGGAACTAGAAAGCTTCAAGTACTTCTGACATATTTTTCAGAAAGAAATTTGGACATGAGAGCCATATAAAGGTCTGCTGTATACTGCCTTTTACCTACACATCAGATGACTCATCTACTATTGTCTATTTCAAGCTCCATAATAACCAAGAAGAGATCAGGCTTTTAAAGAAGATCCAGAGGTCCAACTCTGCAATCAGAAATCAGTTCAGTTGAGAGAGCACCCAAGAGAGCACGTTAGAACCAAAATAAAGCTGAAAATACGATTCAAGTGTATCTAGTTACATATTCCCATGTCTATGGACAGCCTCAAAACATTACCTGAAGCAGCTTCCAAGTGTTGTGGGAAAGAAACTCCCATCTAATGCTTTGTAAAGTATTAAAGCCTGCAAGAGTGTGAGAAGCATATCTGACCTGGGCTGGCCACAGTCTTAAGACACAACCCTGACGTTTACTACTACCATGGTCTCCAACCTCTTCCTACCACCACAGTGGGAGACAGAAAAATCTGTTTCAAAAAAATTTAAAAAGAAAAAGTTTCTGTTGCTCCATAACAGAAAAAGAAAACCATGAAGATACAAATGAAAGGGATTTGTCCTAATCTTCAGAGAGGAAAACAGGGGCTGAATTTTCATTTATTTGCCAAATGATAGTAGACGATCACTCAAAATAAGGACAGAATCTTTGGACCTTGCTCTCACACAAGATGCCAGGAGATCTGGTTTACTTAGTGAACTGGGATTACCTTTATAGCCTTAAATATCACAACTAACTTTTTTCCCCACGTCTGATTCTTTGCATCTTTTCCATCCCTAAGAGTCAAAAAAGCAAAACAGAACATTTATTCAATTATTTCCTACGCTTTTTTCTTTTTTGTATCAGCAGTAGTCTTGGGGGATCTTCCAAAGAATTATTCACTAAAGTGCTTACAAAACATTTTTTTAAATTCTGTATGTGATCCAACTGTCTTAAAATGAGAGCTAGTGTCATTTTCATAAAATGTCTGATTTAATTAGCTCTCTTAATACATTAAACAGAAAAATGTGTTTCATGACTTTGGATGAAGTACTTTTGTAACACTTCCTTGTAAGCATTTCAAAGAAATACGAAAGTTCCATAAGGCATTTTAAATCTTCTGCCACACTTTAAGAAAACAAGTTTATCTCCAAACAAAAATACCCCAGATGTTCCTCTTCAACCTAGCTGAAATAACCAAACTTGGAAGCTCAAGATATTTGAGCTACAGGGCTCATACAGGGCAGGCAAGCTGAAGAAAAAGAAACACCTTAGGAAACATCTTCTGCAAGGTCCTCCAGCTACAAGAATTCATTCTTTAGTATTAATCTGTGGCATCTCTCATTAGAAGAACATAAGCTAATGAGTGAGCATCCATTTCTTTTCCCTTCCACTTCCTTCTTATTCCTCAGAAGAAAAAAAAACAAAAAAAACCTAGAAAACTTAAATCTCTCTGAATAACTTAGGGACTTCTCACTTTATCATCCCCTTTAACCAAAATTCTTTCTGTTCAAATATAAAGTATAATTAATCACCAACTAAACATCTTAACAATCTTTTTGTTAGCATTTAGTGTCACTTCAGAAATAAGCTAGCAACATTAAAATTTCAGTTAAGCAAGTGACCCAGATGAAACTTTATGAAGACTTCACCTTTGTGAAATGAGAAAACACTTCTATTTTTAACTGCTCATTTTCACAATGGACTATAACAACAGGGTGGTGGTGGGGCAAGAGTAAAAACAAGCTGACAAAAATCAACATTTTTTAAACAAAAAAGTATACATTCAGTAGAAAGGGGAAAAAAGCATACCCTACTCCATGGTTACAAAGTAGCATTAGCAAAATGCACACACCAAGTAGATGACAATCCAGGACAAAAAGGAAGCAAAACAGAAACCTGGAACTTAGAGGAAGATTCAGAAGAAGCAAAGGCAGCAAAACACAAGAGCAGATGCAAAAGTAGAGTAAGATTATGTCAAGGTCTTGCAGAGAAACACAAGCAGCTTGAATTTGAATGTAATTAAAGAAAGGATGACAGAGACTGAATTTCAAAAAGGTGATGATGTGATAGGAGTAGCAAACAAAGAAGAATATTCTAGCAACAGCATTTTGGAAGAAGGGTGGAAAGATGCTGATTCATATTCATGATTCACTTCCCATCAGCCACCTTCCACAGAGCCTGGAAGTCTTTCAGAATCAGAGAAAGCTGCTGAAGGATGAAAATATCCAGGTGATTCTTGGAAATTGTTTTTAGCTTTCTCATGGCAAATGAAACAAAGCCTGAGGGTGAATAAGTCATGCAGGCAATAATCTAGCTGCTCAAATACACTGTGCTAATTGTCCATATTCATACAGTTCTCCTATAATAAAAGCAACAGGGTTAAGCTGCCTCTCAGTTACTGAGAGAGAAAAGTACACAAACACCAGCATACGTATTACATCGTCTCTCATGACTGACTTGGTCACATTCAAAAACTTGTAGGTTAGGAAAAAAAAAAAAAGCTTTACCCTCTCGCAGTAGAGAAGAAAGCAAACAGATGCTATATGAGGTGAATATTTATTAAGTGAGCTAGAAGGGTGTTTTAGTTTTGTGGAATATGGAGATCACTAGTGTGCAGAAACGAAACTGTTTCTACAGTATCAAACTTAATAACAGAAGTACAATTTTTAAAGAGTAAAATTAGCTATGGCTACAATGAGAGTCATAAACTAATCATATGAGAACAGTAAAGGTAGTATATAAGCACTTCAGAACATAAGCCAGTTTTCATGCTGCCTCATATGTTAAAAACCAAGCAAAAAATACAGTGAAGCAAGCAATCTATTTTAGCCTAATTTTGTAAGGAATTCAGACTTATACAGTAGCACTTCACCTACATAGAAAGGTGCCTTACACCTTTGGAGTCCAAACCTGTTCCAACAGTGGGGCAGGAATCTCAAGGATATCAATTCCCTACAAATTTTCACTAAAACTAATCAGTCCAAGGATACATAGTTCCCCATTCTTGCACCAAAGCAAAATGATACAGTATGAACTCAAAAGAAGAAAGATGCACTATAATTATTCCAACCACAGGTAAAGATTAAATTGGAGATTATACTACATTAGGCATAAGCAAATTAAACCAAAATGACAAGAAATCAAAATTAGCTAGCATTGCTGTTCAGAGACATACTTGTCTATAAAAAAAAAAAAATAGATGATACAAAGAGCCAGGTAAACTTGATGAGTGAGCATTCACAGGTAATTTTTCAGACTGTAGAATGGATAATCAGAATATAAAGTAAGACTATAAAAATTTATTTCATAGCAAGAAGAATGAGCCAGACAAAATGGATTTACCCCCAAAATGTTATTTTTAAACAAATGCTTGGTCTCACACAACCAACCTCTTATAAATCACAGTAAGCAAGGCTGACAAAACCTCAAATGATCACCTACTTAACCATTAACTAAAATAATTTTTTTTTATTTAAAATCAAATAAAAATAGTGTCTGTGAACAAGACAGCAAACAGTAATACCTACATCTGAACTTCTGTAGAAGAATTTTTCATAGCTCAAAGCAATTGTTGGCATAAACGACAGGAACTTACACAGTG